CATAAACCATTGCACATAGATAAAAAAAAACAACACTAGGCAAAACATAATAGACTGATAAACACACAAAAATCTGAAAAAACCAATGCTAAAAAAATAAGGAAAACTGAGAAGGAAGTATCCACAAACCACCACTTGGTCTTTTAAGGGTTAAAGATATAACATGTTCAACATGCAAAGATATACAAAGATATGTGTACAATTCACTATCTAACTAAAATTCATTATTCAGTGAATTTCTATAAAACTTTCAAGTGTAACTGGTACTCGCCCCACAAATGGAATTCTTTTCTCTATAATTTTTCGTGCTGCTAAACACTTGAGATTGATATACTGAAGTGGGCTAATTGTGGCTTCTGAATTTCCTGCTAACATTCTGTATGGCTGGTTACCATTGCTGTTTCTGTGGTCTAAGTGGGCTCCATGTTTCAACAAAACACCAATAACTTGAGGGTTGAAATTGACACGAAGTGAAGCGAAATGGAGTGGTGTACTCATGTTTTGATTTGTAGCCTCAACATTAGCACCACATTCTAAAAGTAAGTGAGCAACACTAGGACTAGGAAATAGAGAAGTAGTATGTGGCTCTTCAAAGAAACTATTTGATCTAAAGGTATTTGACTTAGAAACTACTAAATGAAGAAGGCTATCACCTGCAGAATTACAAGGGTTCATTCTAAGTATTCCACAGATAACTTTTTTCATCTCCATATCTTGTTCTTCAGTTTTTGGAATTACATGAAGAATGTAAAACAAATGAGTGATGATTTTCAGGATTTTGTCAAATCCATCTTGCTGCCGTTTAAAGACAGGTCTTATACTTAAAAGTTTCATAGTGTTGTCAAACTGTGAGAAAAGCAACTTGACCGTCTGAATGACGTCCCAGTACTGCAGCTCTTCCCTCAAGATACCAACTTCATGTTTTTCATACAAATCAAGTAACAACTGAACCAAAGCTTGAGATGCAAAACAAGTTTCTGGATGCAAAAGACTGTCCTTCTGGATCCTTAACTCCAAAGCATATCGCCAAAGGTCTATGCACCGCTGATATTTGAGACTATCAGCATAAGCAGCACCACGATGCATTATACGAAAAATTAAATCTTTATGAGACAATCCTAAAATTCTTTCACATATTACAAGTGACTGCATTCGTCGGGCATCCACATCTAGTACAAGATTTTCATAATCTTCCAAAGTCTGGAACTGTACTTCAACCATATAAGAAGGCTTTCCCACAACAGACTGTGGCTGTGGATTTGGGAGACGGTGATACTGTCGATATTCAAATCCTTTACGCCAGTAATACAGAGCATTCTGTGTGTCATTGTGGTCATCAATAAAGGTTGTGCCCATAAGTTCGTATGCATCGGCAATACGTTCGTGAGAATAGCCTCCGTGCTTAATTAAATATTCAAATATTTGTCTTGCACCTTTTAAACAAGCTGTCTGAAGAGCATCATCGCCATACCTACTCTTAATCAGTGGGTTAGCTCCATGGGCAAGAAGAAGTGTAGTTGTTTCAAACCTATGCTCTTGAATAGCATAGTGTAATGCAGTCTTGAACTGAATATCCTGAGCATTTACATCAGCCCCGTGCTTTAGAAGATATTTACATAATGGAACACTCTGCACAGAATTTATTAAACACGTACCACCATTGTAATTAGGTTTCTGAATATCAGCATTGTTTTCAACTAAATATTTCACTATTTCAAAATGCGTCATGAAGCAAGCAGATCGTACTGGGGTTGAGCCAGTATCAGAAAGACTATTGACATTAGCTCCATGCTCGACTAAACAGCGAACAACAGATAGTTTTCCTGCAACTGCGGCGCACCACAGCGGTGTAACTACATGAACTGAATGATCATCAGAAACTTCGTAAACACCTCGTTGCTCAACATCGGCATCACAAACTTGAATAAGGTATTCTACAATTTCAACGTTACCTTTCTTACACCCAAGAAACAGAGGAGCACATCCTTCTTTCTTTCGGGAAACAATTAATTTTCTTTCAATTCTCGGAAGCCGTTCAAGTATATTTCGCACATTGTATGACAGCTGAGCGCCTGGTGCGGCTCGTCGACATTCCACGTATAGATCACTAAAAATCACATCGAGCTGATTACTCTGTTCGGATTTTGGAGTATACCACATTTTCGAATTATCACTAGAAAGTCAAATCAACTATACTATTCTCAGGCTTAAAGCCGAACAAAATAACAAACTACACTTATCACAGCTGATTTTCTACCCGGAACGTAGAAACGCCAAGGTCTCATTTCTAAACGCTGATAGGTACAAAAATGCCACGTGATATAACGAAATAAACGTCATGAATAGCGTCAGCATTGCAGCTGCTGGCGCTCTCTACTAAAATATATTTTGGCCTTGGCCGACTTTAATGTGCCATACGGGTAACTTAACCTAAAAATTCTTGTGTGCTTTCAAATACTCCAGTGACTTAGTCGCTGTTCTAACGAAAGAACCTTTTATGTCACATCATTTACTATTTTGGGCACAAAGAAGTAATGGAATAATTAACTGTGCTGGATTTAAAACTGTTTTAAATTCTCTAAAGTACAGAATAGTGATTCTCGGATTTGTGACCCAAAACGAATAAACCTAATTGTAACGTAAATTGTATTACTTGACGGAAATAACAAAATATTAAAACACGTCCTGCTAAGAAATGCAGATTTCATCAACAGCCAAGCCTAGATTAACAAAAATATCATCACTAAATTGAGTTTTATTTCCATTTTAGTGTAAAAACTGACTTGGTATGGATTTCAGTTAGACATATGTAGACCAGAATATCCTTTTTTTTTATTTGTTTTTATACCTATGCCTCCCAGTGGCACAGCGGCATGTCTGCAGACTTACAACGCTAGAATCCGCGTTTTGATACCCGTGGTGTGCAGAGCACAGATAGCCCATTGTGTAGCTTTGTGCTTAATTACAAACAAACATTTTATACCTATACTTTAAAACATCTTTCTGCTTCCTGTCCTATGTTGCGTTTCCAATAATTTATAACACTCGTGTTGTTTGGATAAACTCATACTATATATTGTATGATAATAACATTAGAATTTCCACCTTCGTCACACTATGTCTTTAATACAGGTTTCTGGAATGCTTTAATATACTTATAACCAAACTAATGAACAGTATTGTGTAAATCAGTTATTTAAATCTTAAGCTATATAATTTGTTTGAAATTAAGCACAATGCTACACAGTGGGCTATATGTGCTCTGCCCACCACGGCTTCTAGTGTTGTAAGTCCGCAGACATACCACTGTGCCGGCAAATCTATATAGAAAAACAACAAAATGTTAGTGAAAAAATTTGCTTTCTCTATATTTCTAAACTCATTAAAGGCTGTTTTGAATGATATCTACTAAAGACCGCCATACGAACTACAAATATTAAATTCAAACATAATACTCATGTTGCTTGAGTTCCTAAAATTTTCTTTTTCGACATTTTTGTTGTAGTTGTTATTTGTTTCTTTGTAGTTAAGCACAAAGCTACACAATGGGCTATAGTTGCTGTCCCTACCACGTGTATCGAAACCCGAATTTTAGCGTTGTAAGTCCGCAAAATTACTGCTGAGCCATTAGAAGGCTTTTTTTCGATAGAAATTTGTGAATAAAAAACCAAAACAAAGAGAGAGCATAAAATTGTAATTACCAGAACAGGAATGTCTTCTTGAGAAAAAAGAAATAATACACTGTTACGTCTCGGTTCGTTAGTTAATTTTCTGTAAATTCGTTCCGACGAAACTTTAGCGACACAGGTCCTTTCTTAAATAAAACTGGTTTATTCTTTCCGAATACAACTTTACGATACACTTAATTTCAACAGTCGCTCTATAACAACGCTATAACTCACGTCTCACGTGGACAACAATATTTTATCCGCATACAGTTCAATTACTCATTACCTCTCCGTCGCTTTGTGGCTGGTCTTATATATACAAGACTACACTATATCTAGAAAGATCACGAGATTTAAGGAAAAGACGTGAAAGTTCGAGAATGACGTGGCGTGATACTAGTCACGTGACCTCGATGTCGTAACAGTATGCTAGCATAACCTAATGTTTAATGATTATTTAGTTTTATAACAAGAGTGTTAAAAGTTAATTAATTTAAAAGCGAGTCTCCCAGTAGCACAGTATGTCTGCAGACATACAACGCTAGAAACCGGGTTTCGATACCCGTGGTGGTGGGTAGAACACAGATAGTCCATTATGCAGCTTTGTGCTTAATTACATTCAATGAATCAATTAAAAATGATATTTATAACAAGTTTCGTTAGGTAACTCTGTATGAGTGGTATGCTGTGTATGCAGTAGGCTTTTGTAACATTGGTAACGTGATCTTACTCGAAACTTCTAAGTTTTTCTCGTTATGTTTAATATTGTTGTTACTAGAGGGCTAGGTATGTCTAGATATGTTTTGTCGGGTGTTATAAATACTGCAGATACAGATAGAAAGTTAAGTTTGTGAAAGTAAAGGAGAATTTCGAGATTGTTAGTTTAGCCTTAATGGGCAATTTCTAAAGTGATTTTCTCAGTTTGTATTGTAACAAAGGAAATAAAGAATAATAACTTGTCTTGTCAAAGTGTGGTCTAAAGTAATTGAGCCCACCTTTGACGAAAAGGAGACAATTATTTAAAGCTCAGGATACGACTGTGAATTTTTCATTTATTCTAAATCTATGCAAATTTGCCATAACACATGGCCAAGAAAATTGTTGTTTGTTTCATTCCAGCAGATTTTGTTTGTTGTCCTTCTATTGAGGCCACACATGTTCTGTCCATGAATGCATGATCAATGTACTGAACATTGTACATGAAGGTCAACAGCAGTTGGTTAGGAGATTTCTTAAGGTTATGGCCTTCCCTATTTTCGAATTAAAATGATCAATAATGTGGGTAGCACTAGCTTATATGGGTAAATATAACATTTTCCATAAGTAAGAACTGATAAATTTAAATATTCAAGTAAAAGGATGAGAAACATAGTTTCTGATCAGGGAAATACAAACAATTGAGGGTTGCTAAGGTGAAATGGCATCAGGCAATTACAGGAATGGATGAGCCAGTTTCCGTAAGACTTCTACGTTGTTTCCAAGCAAAGTAATTGAACTCCAGCTGTGATGAGACCATCCAGGAACAGCTGGGAAGGATTGGATTTGCTACCAGTATTTGTCCAGCAGTCAGTGAGTGCTGTTTCTCCAGTAGGTGAGGCAGCAGGCACTAACAAGAAAAAAACCATGAACCAAAGGGCAGAAGAGAGAGTCTCTAAGTTGGGAGGAATCCTGCCAAGGTGACCATAGATTGTGAAGAAGCCTGGAGTTGAATAAAAAACTTGAATGAGTTGCCAATAGTAACTCACTGTCTGCCACCCTGGACTCAGGACCAATTACTCATCTATCGATCAGGGTCTCTGAATATGCTTATGATTCTGTACCTACATTGTCAGTGGCATCTCAGCCACGAAAATGCCTGAGAACCTGCAATGGAGAGGCTTTGGCTACCAATACTGGTTCCTGTGATGTTTAAAGGTGTGGCAAAAGAATATATGGGCTATTTTCTGAAGTGTTTCAGGCAATTAATTACTTTGAACATACCATCTGAGGAGCAGGTAATCGAACACCTAATCTTGATCGTTGACAGTCTAGTGCTAGACTCTATCAAGCATTTAGGAGATATGCAGCTAGAAGATTGGAACACAGTTGTGGTTGAGTTGTGCCACTAATTTGACCTAGAAGACAGTCGTGCAATCCATTAGGTTGAGTTAAGGGCTTGGAAGAGAGTGCTGTATACATGGATGATTTGCATCATCTGCATGGGAAAGCATGTTAACTTTTGCAGATTGAGAATACATCTTGGTGGTCAAGTTCATAGAAGAATATTCAGGCAAGAAAATGAGGCACTTCCTGAGTGTGAGAGGTATCCTCATCCTTACAGAGATAGTTTTCATAGTGACTAGGTAGGAAGATGATCATAGGAGAGGAAAAGGCTTACAATGGCAGCTTGCTGTGACTTTACCTCTAACAGACTATCCAACTTAGGTACCTCTACCACACTGAACTTTATCCATGCTGAGGGTTAACCAGCCATCCACATATCCTAGTACTGCAATGCAACCACAATTATCCAGTGAACAGACAGAGTTATCATGGTCCTTCCATGATTTACCTGCTGCAGCCTGTGCTGATTTGCGCTACTTGGACAAAGCCCATGTTTGGCCTGGCCACCAACTCGAGGGAGCACAGCAGATAACTTGCAATGAAAAGTTTGGTGCTCAGCCCAGCTTTTTCAGGGCTGGGTGGATATTGGAGAAAACTGGTAAATATTGTAATATAACAAACTCTCCAAGTGAAACCAACCCACCATTTCAACAAGGGTATGCTGACTTCATTCTAGTGAATAATGACAGAGTAGATGAATGGAGAAATAGATTGTGCCTAGGAGATGTCATTTTCTAAATGAAAATAGTCATCTACAACCTTGGTTCTAGAACTGGCATCCTCAGGATGGGCATGCTGTGGACATTATTAGTTTGTATTGCCCGTGCAAATGATGAACTGATTTTCTGCAAAACAGTCATGCTATGTTGGCCAGACTGAAATTAGGAACAGTGGACCACATGAGTGTATGTAGCAGAGATAATAACAGTACCCCTGTATACACAAGAGGTGTTCAATAGTTTACTATGGATGAAGTCTAGTGTATCATTGCCAAGTCACGTGCTTATGAAGCCCATAAATGAAATGAACTGTCCTTTCCAGAGAGAGAGATTAAGCTCATACAGTTATCTGTTCAAAGAAGGATGGAGTCTGGTGTTGTTTGGTAGTTATGGATAATCTGGCTATCTAGCTTTATGCTGTTAAGATCAACAGCCTGGTAAATGAAGTAGAAGTGACTGAGACTAGTGATGATAGTGATAATGCTAGAGTTTTGTCTGTTGCACCATGTCCAGAAACAAGTAAAAGGATACCAACACATCTCAGATTGTTGTTTGAGGACTGTGCAAACAATCCGGATCAAATACAACCAAAGCAACTCAGTGACTTTTTGTTTCAATATGTACATATGTTTGAGGGACCAGATGGACATTTGGGATGAATAATAATGACTCACCACAACATATATATACAGGTGATGCACAGCTAATCAAGCAACCACAATATCAACTTCCCTGGAGCACTAAGGATGTAGGCTGTGCAAAGATACAGTAAATATTGAAGGATAAAA